TATATATATATATATATATATATATATATATATATATATATATATATATATATATATATATATATATATATATATATATATATACCTCAGCTAGAAAATAAATTATTTGTCACTATTTGTGTTTTGTTTTATAAATGAAATGTGGGGGAGTCTAACTTATGTAATTAAAAAGTATATGACAAGCGATGCAATGAATAATGGAGTTGTTATGCATTATTTCCAATAATGGATAGCCAAGCTCTTTTTCACTTTGCCATCAACATGTTATAATAGATATTTCAAGAAATTGTACACATCATCAAACCTCTATACGGGGATTTAGATGCTACACTGGTTATTTACGTCGGGTCGGTTTTAACTGTAGATCTGATTAAATAACTACTCACTAGGTATACATACACACGTATGTGTGCGATTATGTGTAGACCTACAGTTGAAATTTACAACTCAGTGTAATTAACCAGGTGTATCAATCTAAATACCGGTATATATGCAAATATATATATGTATTTGTAGGTTGAATGATGGATTTTGTTGAGAGATTCATCGACCCACCCACCATCAAAGACAGTGGAATGTGAAAACAGAAGAAAACAATTATTGGTTAACTTTTTGGTGGAGAGAGAGTAGAAAAGTAGAAAAAAAATGGAGTAGAGTATTTTTTTAATTATTTATTTATGGTGCAATAGCTTTGGCTTTATGTCATCTAATTACTGATTTAGTGGAGAGACACAAATTCTTGTCGGTAGGGGATTAGTTGCATTGTTTCTCAAACACAAAATGCCTTTGTAATACTGACTGCCCACCTACTCCAAATTACACACACACACAATTATTATGTGAATTTCTTTCTTCTTTTCCGAGAGGTAGTAATTACATTTTTTTATTTATTTATATATTAATATTTTTACATGTACATACATATGCTTATGCTTCATTATACCCCACTTATAATTAGAAAAGGGGAAAATTAATTATATATAAAAAAAAAGATAAAGGTGGTATAATGATTAATGGAGGAAGACAACCAATCTTTTTTCCAAGAATCTTTATCCTTCCTAGTTTACTATAAAGATTTTACCAAGGTGAAAAACTCTTAAAAATAGTATGAATTGTTGTTACACCTCTAGCACTATTTTTTGAGGAGGAAATAGTGGTATTCATTTAGTTATTATTTAATGGATTATATCAAACCTTGTAGTGTATACCAATACATATTTTGCTTCGCATACATGTATTTCATCCAGTGTAGCATGTACAGTATCATAAGATGTGACCAGACTTTAATTGCTAAAAAAAAAATATTAAAACATTTTAGCAAATCGGCTAGCATATATTGCTAACAACGAATGATAGTCTAAACTCTAAAGGTCGTTAATAAACATGGTACTAAGTGATTAAAGAGCGTATTGAATTTTCTTTTCTTTTCTTGGAAAACATGATTTTATGGACTTGAATATATACAAATATACTTATATATGTTCTCATTTGTTTTGAATCGTCAATTTAAAATATTTAGGGTAAATTACACCCACACCCTAAAGTATGCTTAAATAATTTTAAGGTCCATGTGATATCGATAATTACACTCACCCCCCTGAAACGTAGTTAGAAATTCTAACGGTATAATGCATTGGATAAATTATTCCGATAGGGTTCTAATGGACTATTACTTTTAGCTAGTGGTGGAGATCTCATAGAGTTATGGGGAGTTATGGGGTGACATGACTTCCTCAATATTTCTTAAATCACCTATAACTTTTTTTTATCTCCACCACTTCCTGAAACCAATAGTCCATTAGAACTCTATCGTAATAACTTATCCAATCCATTATCCCATTAGAGTTTATAACTACATTTCAAATGGGTGAGTGTAATTATCGATACCACATGGACATTAAAGTTATTTAGGCATACCTCACAGGTGTAGGTGTAATTTACCCAAATATTTATATACCATCAGTTAGAAATATGTATTTACTGCACGTCTCACGTGTATAGTAGTAGTATTACTTTAAATTTAGATGCAATTATATATATAGTTTTGAGGATATGTGCAAAATTTTTATTTTGGGGGAAGGGGGCATGTTCTACTATACTGTTGTTTCACATGGTTCATTACTTGAATATTTCTCTTTTTGTGTGCTGTAAAGCAATGACTCTAATTTTTTTTGGTCATCTAAAAGACTAATAAAGTCCTCTGTCTTTATCGTACCTCTTTAAGGTTTTTATTATTAATATTTGCTTCCCTCTAATCTAATGTTTTTAAACTACTTTTTTTTTTTTTTTCTTTTTTTTTTTTTTTTTTTTTTTTTTTTTAATTCTTGTCATGACTTGTGAAACATGTATTTAGCTCCTTCTTTATTTAGTGAATCTATTCAAATATTATTTTCATTCTTTTTGTTCAGTTGTTGTTGTAATATATAATTATGTTACAGATAAATTATTTTTAATTTGGATTCAATTGGAACCATGCACCATTTGTAATAATATTCCATAAGCGCAAATTGTGAGAACCTGGTTCACTGGTAAGTTTTAAGACAAAAATTTCCTTCATATTTGTGTAATTACGAAAAACACCATCTGATTTAATTTTAATGCTAAATTTGTGTTTTATCTATTTTGCCCTTAAGTAAACTGAACTAAAAGATATATATATATATCCAAGCATTACAATGAAACCTCTTACAAATGTTAACCATTACAATTAACTCCCTTAAGCAGTAACATTAACAACTATGCTTATGGGTGAGACGAAGATGAAGCATCTTTCATTTTTCTTCAATGGTTTATTATATTGGGGTTTTATAGTATAGGTCCCTGTTGATAAAATTAATTAGAACTAAATCACAAGTTCAATTAAACTTTTGTTTCACATCATTTATTAATTTCGTTCCAAAAATACCCTTCCACACATAAATTCTAGTTTGTATTAAGTCAAATTCAAACTGCATTTATCATTTTATTATGCATTTAATATCTTCATGTTTTCATCTAATAATATAGTTATTTTATTTTTACCGACTTGGTCATCTTTATTTTTTCGTTTTTCACTCTAGCATTTTTTACTTGTTATAATTAACTTTTTTTTTTTGAACATTTTTTAGTGAAAATTTCGTTTTTGTCAAATAATACAACAGATTTTAAAAATACTATGGTATACTATGATATGCTATGCTATGGTATACTATGGTATATACTACGGTATACTATGATTTACTACACTTCAAATTGACATTAATCATAATAATAATAAACGGCTAATCTAACAGTGACCTTCTCTAGAGTTTTCAAAAATTATGTCACTCCATCCCGAGCCATTATTGAGATATCATTCTAAAAGAGTTGAAATTCTAACCTTGTATTAGAATATACGGGGCTAACCCTTATATATAATATATTGATTATCTATTTTATTTTATTTTTTCAAAAGTACTAAGATTTTTTATGTATTTGTATGACCGAAAGGATTTTTTTACTATCTAAATTACCCCCTTTACATATTCATATATATGATACGGGTTAACGAGACCCCTTGTAAGGCTGATATAATTGAATAAAAATTTCTTTGGTATATATATATATATATATATATATATATATATATGATTTGAATATGCCAGTATTATTTTCCCGTGCTATGTACTGAAAAAATTAAAATGACTAATTTAATACATGACTATAACAATAAAAGAAAATATTACAATAACACAGTAGATTTTAAGAATGTAGTATTATTCATATTTTATATAATATTAGTTTTTTTTTTAATCTTATGTAGTAAGATATATAATTAAAGGGTAAAATACTGTCAACTCTGGGTACGATCAAATTATAAAAACCTCTCTCCTGTTTAGGTAATTACAACCACCCCTCAGCTATGATTTTTCTTACATGTCCACTCATGCGATATCAAATTTAGTTCAATTTTCTAGATTATATAGAATATTTTCAAGTTTGTACCCATTTTATCCATTCGAGCTCCACATTTTAAAGTACTTTTCTGGCTTGTAAATATTAGATTGTGGTGCATCAAAAACTGCATTTTCGCACAAGATGAGTACAAACTAGAGAACATTACACGGAATCTAGAAGATTATATTTAATTTGACACTATAAGGATGGACGTGTAAGAAGATTCATAATTGATGGGGTAGTTGTAATTACTCAAACATAAGGGTTTTTTTTCTTCGTAATTTGATATTAGCTCAGGGTAGTTGTAGTTACTCTAACAATGAGATACAATGAGAGATCGAATGTTCGTATCTTATTGAATGTGTTTGTTTTTAAATTACGGTATAAGGCTATTTTCAAGTCACAATCAGATTAAAAAAAGATTATATCTTATAAGATGTTAAAAAGTGTTTGATATTTTTTTTAAACAAATCTAAAAAATAAAAAAAAAAAGGTGTTGAAGAGAAAATGTGATTTAAAAAAAAATATTTACCACACATTTTTATTTAAGATATTATAATGATTAAAATAATTTATAAGTTCATTATAAAACATTTTAAGAATTAATTCTAAAAATAAGACGTAATAGCTTATCAACTCTTAAAACAGATTATCAGACGTAAGAATTTATCAACTGTTTAAATCAGCTTAACCAAACTAGCCCTTAGTTTTAATAAATTTTCAAATCGACCCGTGATTAGGGAAACAATAAATAAATAGATTATGTCTTGATTTGTTGAAAGAAAAGAAGAAACTTGTTTCACTTAATTTGTACACAAGTTTTTTAGTGGCTAGTTCAATATTAATTATCAGTAGCTGGAGTCTGGT